ACTGTACCATCTGTTTCCATATTTCTAAAGGAAGAGCCATTTTCCTAAGGGAGATAAGATCAATTGTTGCCAGAAGAGAATACATATTATCCACGGCAAAAACTTCAAGTTATTTTCAATTTTTGATTTGTGTAGAAGCAGTGGTCGACTATTTTTGGGAATTTGCATATTAATTTTGTCAAGTAATTTTAATATTCCTAAACGAATCGACCTAAACTATGAGAATCATTTGCATGGAACAGATTTGTATTGCGTTTATTGATAACAAGCCTAGCGAGCCAAAGAGAGGATTTGGGTTATTTTGCTTCATTGATTGGAAATTTCATCAGTTACACAATTTCTTTGGTTGGTTTAAAATGTTCTTTAGAATGCATAGGCGTGTCTATATTTTGATAAGGATCAAAGTTAGCATTGACACGTGATCAAGAGACTGCATTGCCTTTTTTGTATTTTTTTTTGTTGAGCCAAACGGATATCTTAAGTCAAATAGCTTGGAAAGGAACATTGAATTTTATCGCCTCTATTTTACTCAATATATTCAATCAAAACAAATTGATTCTTATACTAAATTTTTGCCGGTCCCGTAGAAGTTTTATATAATAGAAGTGAGGTTTTCGATCCTTATAAATGTAACTAAACCGTTACATTTCTAAATGCATCGAAAAGATTTCGAGAGATCCGAGACTATTTTGGAATCCAAAAACAAGTGATACACAATTGTTTCAGTTTCATCTACGAGTTTTGGAGTTGTGACATTTTTATAGGATCCCGAGTTTTTTCAGTCATATTTTCTCGAAACGTCAGATTTGCTTCGGAATTCTCAAGTTTTCCTAATAATTAGATCTTTCATAATTGCGTGACGCCTAGTTAGCCTTTTGAGTTCGAATTTTAACGAATCTAAAATTTTTACACATTTTTGAAAGAATCTGAAATTTGTCGAAATTCAGATATTTTTAACTTTTTGGAAATCCGATCTGTTATCATAATTTTACAGTATTTTCGTAAATTCTATAATTAGGAAATTGTAATCTAACAAAGTCAGTAATTGGGCTTGCATTTTTATAATTATTTATATACGGAATACCACAAACAGAATTCTTAAATCGGTATGACATTTAAGAACGCAAAAATCGTTCTATTATTGTGACAGGTAAGGATCATAAAATAAAATTCTGAATTTCAGTCGTCAATTTTATACATTGCGAATATGATTCCACCCCCATAAAGTTGGGGCAAGAAATCCCGTTGCAACTCAATGAAACCTTTCGTTGAAATTTCTTGTTTTATTAGTTATTAGCGTTAGCATATGAAGGGCACCGTTGTGTAAATAGAGGGAACGCACCAACTTACGAAAAAAACATATCTATGGTGATGATTCGATCACTTTAGAACAATTCTAAGTGATCTAAATACTGTAGCGAGCATCCCAGACAACGAGGCGCCATCAAGTTGATAAAAGATTAGGCACCGGCGAAAGCGATGCGAAGTTTCAAAAAAAGTTCCAACATCGACGCCAACTTGATTTCTTATGTGATAAATAAATCTGCATGTTACTAATTCGAGTACAAGTGAGCGATAAATAACAATAAAAATAATTCATTAATAATTAATTGTGCATAAATAAATCATTTAATTAAGTTTACTTTACAAAATCAGCGTAAAAATCAAGTTTTGAATCGGAAACTGAGTATAGCTATTTACTAATTCATAATCCTGTGACACAGTATGTAGTGAGCACATTATTTATAATTAACTGCTTTCCTTTTCGCATGTTGGAGACAAAATAAATGTATGTGGCGTGTATGCAATTTTATACAGCACCGCTTTTAGGGAATTTTTACAAACACGAGTTTGACGCATTTCAAATTGCTTTTAACGTCAATTCAATCTCTCCTATGCATGGTTTATAAATGAAGCCCTTTATTATTTATATACGTGTAAGAAGATCAAAGCTTTGATCTTTTTATAAAATTGTCTCTTTTCTCTTGCTTACAGTAAATTATTGTGGCGGAATTACACAATAGGAAAGCCAGTAGTAAAAACACGAATGGGATTACCTGCGTCCATGTAATATTCACCCTCCTCTTTTATTACCTTTAAAGAATTACTTGAACAAAAATTGCTCACTACAGTTGTATAAGTAATCATTAAATATGAAATGAAGCCGAAATCAATACCGAAAGTTAATTGACAAATACAAGCACACCAAAGACAGTTAAGACCCTACTAGAAGGAAAGTACCAATACAATATTGTTGGTGTTTGGCACCATTTTTATCTTTATACCAAGTGTTTACAAAATACCAACACATTTGGTTTTAAGCACGGCGTAAAATGAGTCTATTACTGTGATTTTAATGACGAGATAGGCCAAATGAAATGGTATACATTCGAAAACATTAACCATTCAATTTAGGGTGGTACCTACTGTTATGTTATAGTTGCCTATCCTGCAGTTTTGCTATTCAATGGTCATTAATTTTGAAAGAGACTGCACTTACATGTATCCACCCCATAGCTCCCAAATATACTCTTGATGCGTGTCAGTGAAATCTCTGGACGTTAGCAGTAAATAGGTACACACTTTAGTTTACAATAATTACCTAGTTACTTATGGAGAAAAGGTTGCTCCGGCGACTTTGGATAGCCATTACCATTAAGAGGGTAATAGGAAAGGAAAGGGGAGAGTATCTTACACATGATTTATCCAGGACACAACAGCCAAGATAAAAGTATACTGACTTTGACACAAAATACAATTCTACCAGAACTGTAAGAACTTTCCAAGTAAAAGATAAATGCGTCTTTTTAAACAAGTGACACAATATTTCGTTGTACTGAAAGGAATATGACCTGACAGGCGACCTAAAATTGTATTTCAGAAATTACATTGTAATATTACATTCAATTTATTTTCTACGATTATTAAATTAGTACAGGGGACGAAATTCAAATACAATTATTTAATCAATATAATTTAACAATCAGAATTCTTGAACTTTATAGGGTTTATAATTAATTCTCTTTTAATGGTTTTCCCTTTCCTTACTTTTACGAGCGACGTTGGTAAGGAGAAAAGTATTCTTTACTACTTTAGCCAATTATACAGGGCAAATTTCAGTGACTTTATCACGTTCGCGGGTCGAGGAGGTTTATGGTAAGCGATTTAATTTTAGGTTTTTCATTTTGGACGGATTCTACAATATCGGTGCGGGGATAACTAGTACTGCCGAAACTTATTATTAATTTCGTTCTACCCTAACGCTGACACAATAAGGCAGAAGGGTTACAGCACCATTTTGTAGACGGATTAAATTAATCAAGCATACAGCTTTCGAAATGAGATACCGCGCGTAGCACAGAACATTATTTTTTTTGTGACATCATGTTGTGGTAGGGGAACGTATTGAGGTAGTAGAGTGATGAAGTTTTTCCTGTCAGCCTCAGATGAGGTTGTTTATGTATCGCAAATGGCATAATTAAAAGCCACACTTTAAAAGATTTATACAAACATTCTAAACCTAAGACATTTGTTCCTCATCAGGCTGCATTCTCTTCTTTTCCTATAACTTTTACGTCACGATCTCCAAACTCGTATTTTGCATTTTTTTAAATTTTTCATTTATTTAGATTCTTCTGATTTTTCATTCATAGCTTTATATGATTTTCTCGATTCTCGTGTTTCAGATACTTGGCACTCTTTCATTTGTTTGAACCCCTCCGATGCTGCATCAAGTTCTTGAGAGCCTTGAAATTCATTAGACTTGGTGCTTCCGATTCATAAGATTCTTCAAATTCAAGTAAAATATCTAAAAGTTACCGAACCACCCCAATCTAGCATAAGATGAGCATGGTGAGGCGGCGCAGTCGCAGAAACGGAGATTAAATCCCATCCGGGAGCGAGACACAGACTGATATTGATACTGATTACTGCCACCCACTTAGCAGTGTGCAGTAAATAGTGAACGATGTATTATACCCCATAAAGCTTGACGAAAGTTATAAAAACAACCTCAAAAAATTTGGAATGTGTAAAATTTCCTGGAAAATGCGCCATCCTGTTGAAACCCCCAATTTCCAACTTTTTTTTATATGCCGCACATTGTTGTATCCGTAATAAACAATGCTCCTCAATACAGTATGTACTTTTTCACGTGCCAAATAAAAATAAAGTTGATGATGATATCTCCGAAAGGAAACGCTGTATTGAAAATCTCTCAATGCTGTCTTCAAAGGATGGGGCGATAATGGCGACATCTAACGGAGGAATTTTACAACACATATTACAAGATGTTTCACAAATAAAATTTTGACGTTGCCACTTTTATATTCTCTTACAATATTTGGGTATACTGTTGGACACGCAATAGAAATTATTTTTAAATTGCCGCCATGTAGTCGGACGTCATCGTACCTACGCGACGGGTACAACGAAAACGAAAAATTGTGAGATTAAAAGTTAGAAGAAAGTGGTCAGTTGTCATTAAATTATCAACAGACAATTCATTATCCATCTCGGCCAATTACCATAAATTTATCCCACCATCCTATTACATTCCCTTCTGAATATTAGTGCCGTTATGGATAATCGATGGTAAGTTACAAAAATAAATACATTTGGTCCTTCGAGCAGGATTTGCGGAAATTTTTTGGATAATAAGTTCGAATCGGTCGAACTTGAGATAAGTTTAATCTCGCAATTTTATCGTTAATACATACCTATTAGTGGATTTTCGGAAAGACAAAGGGTGGTTGATACCCTGAGTACGAAGGCGTGCGATTTCAGCGGGAAATCGTGGTTTTATCAGCGGGTTATCAGAGGGCTTGTTTTCGACTCAAACTTGTTTATTTGTTACTTATTAGAATACAATATTCTTGTCTATTGCTTATCTTTACCATACAGGTATTGCTTGTTGATAAAGAGACGTATAATATTGCAATGGCAACTGTAGCGGAACGAAAAGTTAGAACTTTGACTGCTAAAAAAGAGTCGTTATTTACTTATTTGTAATACTCCAAAACTTATACGATTTGTCTAAAGATTTAGGTAATTCCAATAAACTAGAAAAGTTTAAGATATTGTATCGGTCCTTAGAAACTACAAAAAAAGATTTAAATGTAGTTTTAGAGGAAATCGCGGAATATAGTTTGGAAGTTAATGAAGATTATAAGCCAGATTTTAAGGTTTTGAGTACTATAGATGAACTTTGTTGTCACATTAGTAGGGCCGCGGAACGTTATGTAAAAGTAAAGGCAGCGGCAAGGGAAGGCGCGCCGGCAACGGGGCCCTCAGTGACGGCGGCGGTACCCAAATTACCGAAAATTGAATTACCTCTGTTTTCTGGGGAAATCAGGGAATGGGAAATCTTTTATTCAATATTTGAAAGTTTGATTCATGGAAATAAGGATCTATCGGACGCCGATAAGGTGCATTATTTGGTCGGGAGGCTTAAGGGTCCAGCTTTGGCGGTTTGCTCCGGATTAGCTCCCACGGGGGAGAACTATGAAATCATTTGGAAAGCGCTTCTCGATAAATACCATAATAAAAGAGTTCTCGCTAATAGTTATTTGGAACAGATTATAGACTTTAAGCAGCTTCTATACGAGGCTTCAAAGGGCTTAAATATATTCTTAGAAAAATTTGATGCGGCAGTAAAGGCTCTTAAGAATTTCAAATTAGTTGATTTAACGGATTTCATTTTAGGCTATTTAGCCTTATCAAAATTAGACCCGGCCACAGTAAAATTGTTTGAAATTTCTAAGCGAAATGCGGAGCTTCCTAGTTACGAGGATATCATAACGTTTGTAAAAGACTAGTCAAAAATATTAAGTTTGAATAAGAAGCTACCACTAAAATCGGGAAATCTGGGTGAAAGCGTAGGAAAAATATCAAAGTCTTTTTTGGTCAATGAGGCTCCTAAGGAGGAGAATGCGGCTACCACTTCTCATACTGGAAACAGTTGTATTTATTGTCATAAGGGGTGGCATTATTTAACTAGATGCGACAAATTTAAGCGGTTGACTCCGGCTATGAGGTATGAAGCGGTGAGAAAAAATAATTGGTGTTATAATTGTTCACATCATGGTGTACGGTTCTGCACATCTGATCGGTCGTGTATCGAATGTCAAAAAAGGCATCACATTCTGCTACACATGGGTAGGCCAAATAGGGAAAGGCTAAACGAGGCGACAGGGTCTTCGAGGGGAAGTGCAGATTTGGATGTGCAGAGGCCATCGGTTTTAGCGGAGAGTTCAGGATTGGTGACTAACCTGTGCTCGACGGAGGAGGCAACAGCCAATCCGATGCCTACTAAGCATACGGTTTTGTTATCAACCGCGGTGGTCGATATTCTAAATTGTCAGGTTGGAGGTCAAACAGCTAGATTTATTTTGGATAGCGGAAGTCAAGCGAACCTGTTAACGACTAGGTGTTGCAAAAATTTGGGTATTAAAATTTCGAAATGTTATTCCTCGGTGCAGGGATTAGGTAAGGTGTCGGAACCGGTAAGGGGTATGGCAGATGTTGATCGCGTCTCGTCATAATCGGAATTGTAAATATGCACTTAAGGTGTTAATAGTCGAAAAAATTACGGATAAACTTCCTAGGCTTCAAGTTGATACCGACGGCTGTTCTCATTTGAGAGATATTCCGTTGGCTGATGATTTATTTTACCAATCTCGAGAAGTGGATGGGATTCTAGGGGCGGAAACATTTTCTTGTTTAATTGGTTCTGGTAGAGTATTGGGTACAGCCGGAAAACCAATTGCTCTTCAAACTACTTTGGGGTATGTTGTAATGGGAAAGGTGCCGGTAGCTCCAGTACAAACGGATATCCAGGCTTGTTTTACTGTATCCAATGAGTCCTCACTGGAACAGTTAATGAAAAAATTTTGGGAAGTCGAAGAAGTTCCACAAAAGGCAATTCCTAAACCGGAGGAAGTTGAGTGTGATAAACTTTATAGGTGCACAAAGGCTAGAGATGAAGAGGGTAGGTTTAAAGTCGCTTTACCATTTAAAACTTCCCCAAACAATTTAGGAGATTCTAAAAGCATGGCTCAGTGTCGTTTATTATCATTGGAGAGAAGATTATCTAAGGTTCCGGAACTTCGATTGGAATACAATAGGGTGATGCAGGATTATATCGATCAAGGTCATATGCGATTGGTTCAGGAGATTAACGAGGGTCAGTCATCCTATTTTATTCCTCACCACGCGGTATTTAAACCCGAAAGTATTAGTACTCCGGTAAGGGTTGTGTTTGATGCTAGCGCTCCCTCAGATAGCGGCGTTTCTTTAAATGATCTGTTGTACAGCGGGCCAAAGCTACAGGCAGATATATTTACAATGTTAATTAATTTTAGACTTTTTGGTATAGCTATAACGGCGGACATTCGTCAAATGTACCGCCAAATAAAATTAATTGAGGACCATTGGAAATTTCAGCGGTTATTATGGCGTTTCGAACCTCAAAGCGAAGTAAACGTTTATGAGCTTACAACGGTAGCGTTTGGGGTGAAATCTTCTCCTTATTTAGCGTTGAGAACTGTTAAACAATTGATTCTGGAAGAAGGCTTCAAATATCCGTTAGCTGCTAGAATAATAAATAGGGATTTATATATGGATGATTTGGTAACAAGTGTCAGTGAATTCGAGGAAGCCTATAGTCTTCATGTAGAATCTATTAAATTGTGTGCGGCGGGAAGATTTGAATTAACTAAATGGTCTACAAATTGTACTGACTTGTTAGAAAAAATTCCTATTGATAAGCGGTTATCAAATTCTGTAAGTTTTAAGGCGGATACTAAAATTTTGGGAATGCAGTGGAATCCAGATTCAGATTCTTTGAGTTTTTATATAACACTTCCCGAGTTGAAGTGTACCAAGCGGCTAATCTTGTCAACAGTGGCGAGATGTTACGATCCGATAGGTCTCATTGCTCCCTTTATTCTCTATTTGAAATTATTAGTAAAAGAGTTGTGGCGGTTGAATTTAGCTTGGGACGAGGAACCTCCTGAAAATATTATGCAGGAATGGATTAAACTACATAACGAGTGGAGTATCCTGGAAAAATTTAAAGTGTTACGACATGTAGGTGCGATAAAAAATACACCGGTGATGTTGGTAGCATTTGCGGATGCAAGTTTTGACGGGTACGGCGCGGTTATATATTTGAGAACGATAACAGCGCAGGGAAATATTCAGGTTAGATTAGTATGTGCAAAATCTAAGGTATCTCCTTTCAAAAAAATCACAATACCAAGATTGGAACTTTGCGCGGCAACATTGTTATCCAAATTGCTTAAGCACGTGATCGAAGTTTACGGAGAGAGAATCGTAATTTCAAAAACTTATGCATTTTCAGATTCGACTACGGTGCTTCAATGGTTGAAGTCAACCTACATTACGGATATTTTTGTGGCTAATCGGATAGAACAGATTAGGGAAAATCTGCCTTCTAGTGTTTGGCGCCATGTGAGTGGTACGGAAAATCCTGCAGATTGTCTTTCTAGAGGGTTGTCCCCTTTGCAATTAATGGAACACCGTTTGTGGCTGTCGGGCCCAGCGTGGTTACAAATCAATGAATCACTTTGGCCAGTGACTTCTATTGATTTGGGGGAGGAAGGTCTAGAAGGCGATCAACATATACACACCAGTTTAGTCAATGTTCGGGAAAAGGAAGAACATCCCTTATATGAGTTGGTTTTGCGTCGTTCGTCTTGGTCATTTATTTTAAGGACTACGGTATGGGTACTTCGGTTTGCAAAATTAATTCAACTGGGAGAATTTGTTACTTCTAAAGATTTATTTATAGCGGAGTCTATATTAATCAAAATGGTTCAATCTAAACATTTCGGTTTTGATATCAAACAATTAGTTTTGGGTAAGGAATGTTCGGAAAAATTGCGGAAATTAAGACCATTAGTTCAAGATGGATTACTTAGGGTGGGGGGTAGATTGGGTCGGGCCCAAATAACCTTTGATCAAAAGCATCCCCTAATTTTGCCAGCTAAAGAGCCATTAGTTGATAGATTAGTGGATTATTATCACCAGACTAATCTGCATACGGGGCCTCACTTACTGGAGGCTATCATTAGACAAAAATATTGGATAATAGCGGGTCGGAATCTCATTAGAAGTCGGGTACATGCGTGCAATCACTGTTTTAGGCGTAAACCACTTGCAAAACCTCCGATAATGGCGGACTTACCATCCTGTCGGGTACAGCCAGCTAAAGCGTTCCTGCATACGGGAGTAGATTATTTCGGGCCTATCAATATTACTTTAGGTAGGAGGCGAGGAACGTCGATGTATAAGGCTTACGTATGTTTATTTGTGTGCATGAGCATAAAGGCTGTACATATGGAACTGGTAAGTTCCTTATCAACTAATCATTTTTTACAAGCCTTTAAGCGGTTCTTATCTCGTAGAGGTCCTTGTGGGGTTCTCTATTCGGATCAGGGAACCAATTTTATCGGAGCCAAGCGGGTACTTTCGGATCTATACATGTTTTTAAATTCTCGGGAGTATACCGATACGCTGATGGCGGAATTATCCACCCAGGGCGTTGAATGGAAGTTTAACCCTCCCTCGGCACCACATATGGGTGGTATATGGGAGAGTCAGGTTAAATCAGCCAAAAGTCATATCTACAGAGTTATCGGTGATCAATTGTTAACATACGAAGAATTCGCTACTTTTTTAACACCGATCGAAGGGTTACTAAATTCTCGGCCTCTGTGTCAATTGTCGGCGGATCCTTTTTCCCCGAGCGCTTTAACACCCGCTCATTTTTTGACCGGGTCACCGTGGGTAATTTACCTGCGGAACCAATTTTAGAGATTCCACTCATAGATTGGATAGCTTCCAAATGATCGATCGTTTAATTCAAGAATTTTGGAAACGATGGCACCTGGAGTACCTTAATACGTTGCAAACTCGGAAAAAGTGGTATAAAGATACCTACCCCTAATATAGAAATTGGAACGGTAGTAGTTTTAAAGGCAGATAATTCACCGCCACTACATTGGCCGTTAGCAATTGTCACGGACGTATTTCCCGGAGAGGACGGTACGATCAGAGTTGTTAAAGTTAAAACCACGAAAGGGAGCTTTACGCGACCTGTCGTTAAAGTATGTCCTTTACCTACACAGTAGATCTTATCAGTTTTGGAGTATATAGAGAAAGTAAGGGATTTTTTTTTTCTTTCATCTCATTTTGAGATTTGTTTTTTTTTGTTTTATTATGCGGGAGCAATGGTATTTGGGAAAATTTAAGGTTATTCAATGTTTAATAATTACATTTTTTTTTGGTATTTTTTAGGTACAATTTGAGTTGAAAACAAGTTTTCATGGTGGGGGGTATGGACACGCAATAGAAATTATTTTTAAATTGCCGCCATGTAGTCGGACGTCATCGTACCTACGCGACGGGTACAACGAAAACGAAAAATTGTGAGATTAAAAGTTAGAAGAAAGTGGTCAGTTGTCATTAAATTATCAACAGACAATTCATTATCCATCTCGGCCAATTACCATAAATTTATCCCACCATCCTATTACATTCCCTTCTGAATATTAGTGCCGTTATGGATAATCGATGGTAAGTTACAAAAATAAATACACAACTTATCTGTTTGATCTTAATTGCTTGGTCGAGCAACATCCCTCTTACCACCCTTTTCCATATATTTCTATTCAATCCCAACCCCCATGCGTTGAAATACGCAACAGCTGGCTCATGTGATATGAGTGGAAATGATTTCATTGATCTTGAAATCACGGAAGTAAAGTGATATATATCACACTTTTCTGTTAGTTTTGAGATGTGACTTTTGAGCATTACAGCTGCTTCATGTTTCTCCGACTTAAAAAAAATAATTTACTCTAGCATTTTAATTGGTAAAATCGTGGATGGTTCCCAATTCAGTTTACTTCTCAATAGAAAGTTTGGAGATTTTTTTTCATTGTTTGTTGGTGTAATATTTATTCTCTTTGGAAAAGAGAGAAGGATTTGTCAGAGGGTAATATTTTGCGTCTGCGTTATTACCACAAAAGAAACATTTTATTCAAAACTTCAGACCATTATCTGTTGAATTTTCCCATAAATTTTTACCGTTTAGTACCAAATAAAAGGGAAAGTATATGAGTGTATGTTAAATAAAGCCATTTCGTGTCTATATTTCAAAACATTTTTTACATCGTTCATTTACTTTACAGCCGTATTCTATTATGAAGTCATAAAGTAAAAGGGCGCTAATAACACCTCTGTTATGACAAACGGGGAGCAAGAAAACGTCACTTTATGATCCAATGATGAATGTAAAGTATCATTCGTTTTCATGTAGCGTATATATCTTTACGTATAGTAAAGTTTGTATAGAAATTACTTTTGTGTGCCCCATGCGCGTCCTTAATTTGCCATATCAGGTAGTGAAAACGAATAAATGTGGTTTCTTCTGAAATTACAGTGAAGTGCACACACAAGCATTGATTGATTGAACCTGTAAGTAAACCAAGTTGCAAGTGCATGTTCGTAATTAAAAATACCGGAAGTTAAATTTTGTTATAATTGAGTTTCCTGCCTTCTTAACCGCATCCAGGAAGCAATACAATTTGAAATTGAATTTATACGTAATTTTAGTTTGAATACATCCTCAAATTGGAGACTACGCTAGAGCATCAGATTAGTTTGTCAAGGTATATTCCTGTTATTCAATACAGATGTGCGTGCCCATGTTGAATCGACGCTCCGTAATTGCCTATTTACTTTGATATAACGGGGGTTTTAGTTATTCTAATCGGCCTGTCTTTCTATTGTTCCTTTTGTGCAATTTAGACGATTCCACAATTTATATAATGCTCAAATTCCTATGATCGTTCCTGTAATGTGATGATAAGGACGAGTTTCATTTAAATTGCGCCACTCCCATACTATTTTTGGGAAAGTGTCATAATTGCTATCGATTTGTTTCAGCTCCGAGGCGGTTTCTCATCGCCATTGTAAACAAAGTTGCTGGATTGAGAACTTGGCTACGAAGGGACGAGGCTTTCCCCATAATTGCTTTAAACTCAATTTGAGACAATTTATAAAGGGCATTTGCTATTTGTCTTTGCTATAAATAGTTTTAAGGATTATTTCGTGGAGAGGAATGTATGAGGGTATTAACGAAGTACGTCGGCAGAATGAAATGCGAGGCTTTGATGCGTTGTTAAACATTTGGAATCCGAAAGCCGCTTAACCATTCGTTTTTAGCTGCATAATATTGCAACAAACACTATAATAAATGGAACTACTTATACACTAAAAACCTTATTTACGATCCGCATTAATCTGTATACCTATACCTTTTTCTCTTTAAAATAGAATGCGTAGGACGAAGAATTTACTGTCCGCATAACTACAACCTATTTTTAATAATAATAATAATAATAATCATCTTTATTTAGGATAAGGAAAAGCCACAAGGGCCATTTATCCCTCCTCTACAAGCTTAATCATATAAATGTAGTTAAAGTTCATTAAATAGTAAGTACATAAGAATATAGATAAGTAGATAACATCAAAGAGAAAGAGTATATATACATTGATTGCAGTGGTATGAGTTAACTTTAGCCTACAGCGTTCATCAGGAAGTTGTGGCATTGCTGAATGAAAAGTTTTCTGGCAGTGATGTCACGAATGCTCGGCGGTAAGGTATTCCATAGGCTTGCGGCTAGCACTTGAAATGAAGTAGAGCCTATCTGAGTGTTCGTTTTAGGTAGAAACAAGTCACTGGTACGTGTGTTATACGAGTGAAAACTTTGTAGGGATTTGAACAAGTCACGTAGGTATAATGGTGCACTGTTTGTTTTGATTACTTTATGCAACAGACAAAGTGTGTTATGTACACGGGTTTTCTTCATGTCTAGCATATTTAGACTGCGTAGCATAGGTTGTATGCGATCAAACTTATGTAAGCCACATGCATAACGTAAGCAATAGTTTAGGACCTTTTGTAATTTGTAAGATAGCTTCCCGTTAAGACCATGGTAACATACATCTCCATAGGTGATTAGTGGTAAAACTAATTGTTTAACTAGATTGAGTTTAATATTTTGGCTTAAAAGATTTTTAGATCTGTATAGCGTTTTTAACTTGTAATACGATTTGGTGCATACATAGTTGGCGTGCACTTCCCAGTTCAGATTTTGATCAATATGCAGTCCCAAGATTTTGGCGGATGTGGCAAACTCTATACAGTTTCCGTCGACTTCTACTTTTTGAGATGTTGACATGTGAAATTTATGTAAATTTGTCGTGGTGCCAACGGCCATAACAACAGTTTTGTTGGAGTTGAGATGTAAGTTGTTCACGGCTGCCCACTTAGAAATTGTGTGTAGATCTTCATTTAGATTACTCATATGCGTATTTGAGTTGCTACTGTTGATCGTCATTAGCAACTGGATGTCGTCTGCGTATTGATGTATATCAACATATTTTAGGAAATAGTTGAGGTCCGAGACATACACGTTAAACAGTAATGGTCCAAGGATGCTTCCTTGTGGAACACCTCCTTCAACAGGTAATGAAGCAGATACGGAAATCCCTTTTGCCGTAGAGATTTTAGTCCTTTGCGATCTATCGGATAGATAATTTTTGAACCAGTTTATAGAGTGTTTAGAAAGACCTAATGTCTCCAGCTTATGGGTTAGTCTAGAATGACTGACAGTGTCAAAAGCCTTCGAAAAGTCTAATCCACACATTACAGTAACATTGCCGTTATCATACTCTCCTTTTATTGAATGTAGTAAACACAATAGAGCAGTAACAGTGATGTGGTGCTTACGAAAACCTGACTGTTTTAGGTAGTAGAGATGGTTTCTTTCTAAATAAATATCGATTTGTTGGTGTACGATTCTTTCCAGTATTTTGGACATTGCTGGAAGGATGCTTATGGGCCGATACTGTTCCACATTTTGAGCATTTTTGATTTTCGGGATAGGTGTGATTATTGCGGTTTTCCATAGTGCTGGGACAATACTGCTGTATAATGAATAATTAATTATGTCAGTCAGCGCATCTAAACAAAATGGCAAACACAACTTCAGCTCAGTAATGGACAAATTATCACATCCCTTGGCTGAGCTCTTGATTGATTGCACTGCGGATAATACTTCAGACCTATCCACACATTTCAAATTGAATACATGTGACTCAGGATTTCGACATTTGGCCTCCACAGTAAAATTAGGTTGTAGCCCGGTATATCTACAGTCTTGGTGAAAGTATTTATTAAACACGTTAGGGTCCTTTAATACGCTGAAAAAATTTTTGTTGTGTTTGCTATCGATAATTTCCATGTTACGTAGTCCATTCCAAAGGCTGCGTGGGGTGATATTGTTTGTGTTAACAAATCTATTGATGGCCTCCATTTTACGAGTTTTAATTGCATGCTTTGTGTCAGTAAGTAGGCGTTTGTAAAATACCCAGTTGGTGTAATTCCTTTGAGATCGATATCTTAGCCAGGCATTGTTTTTCTGACGTATCATTTTTAAAAGCTCTCCAGACAACCATGGCTTATATTTTTTGCTCGTTTTGATAGCTTTTATCGGTGCATATTCATTGAGGAGTTGATTGATAAGCACATATAAGTGGTGTAGTTTTTCATCAATTGTGTGACAGCTGTTTACGCCATTCCAA